TGTGGCTCCTGCCTTATTGAGGACTCTAGACTCTGAAGGCTCTGCAAGGCTTGGAGGACCTACAGCCCTTGGCAAACACTTGAAGCAATGGTGTATCAACTAAAGTTTTATCTCTTTAATGTCCTTCCCTAACCCTCACTCCTGACAGCCTCCTTCTGTCTCCATGACTTAACAGAATTCCCAAGAGAAAGGCCTAGATATTCATCAGTGAGAAGGTTCTGCTACTTCTGGGCACCAGTAAATCCTTCTTATCCATCCCATAGGACCGAGAGTGACACCATAGAGAGAAGATGGTCACAGTGGTAAGAGGTTCAACCTGTCAGTTCTCAAGGATTTGTTTCTAAACAATGCACCCAGCTTGGGGGATGGAGGGCACTGTGAGGGTCTGAAAGTAGCAGAAGTTAAGGGAAATTACATTCAATGAGCCCTTCCCATGTGCAAAGCCCTATACATCACCTTCAATGAATAACTCTCACAATGCTGATATGTGTTATGATGTCAATATTACAGAAAAGGGAAAAGAAACACCAAGAAGTACCTTGTCCAGGAGCACATACCCAGTAAGAGGCAGAACCAGAACTCAAATTCAGGTCTGTTTGTTACCAAAATGAGTGCTTTTCCCACCACACCATATTGAGTCTGTAAGATAAGATCTCTATCTTTATACTGCCCACACACAGGAAAGTAATGCTGTCACAGAAAGTTGATAGGAGTTAGACTGGGGAGGGGCACAGGCCCAGCTCTGTCACATCCTATGCCTTGCTGCCTTCAACTCTCTGAAGGTGGAAGTGAAAATAAGGATTAGAGCACTTATCAGCTTATGGCCAATCTTCGTGAGTCCATTGGTGGAAGGAGGGAAAGAATTCACACACCAAAGAGAAAGAGCACATGACAAGCCTAGGAGCATCATCCCACCAAAAAATGTAACCCAAGTTCAGAAAAACCAAGATGTGAGAGGAGAAGAGGGTGCCAGGTGTGAAGGATAGTGTGGGTTTGGTTGCGGGGTCTTGGGGAATAAGAGCTAAGACTTGGAATGCACAAAGAGAAGACTGGTTCAGCAACAGTGAAACAGGGAGATAGATGCAGGGTCCCTCTGTCTTTTTATTGTTTTTTAAAATTTAAGATCAATGTGAGGGTACACACGATTAGATTATAATGATTGCACTGGTTAGGAAGAGTCCCTGTTGTAGCTGCGTTCGGAACCCAGAAGGTGTGCCATATACCCCCACATTGTGCACATCAGATGTGCCCCTTTTTTCTCTCTTTTCCCCCTCTCCTCCCAACTTGAATTGAATTGAGTTTTTCTCTCGTGTGGGTATTCATTTGTTTACCGGCTTCTTATTAGTGTTGAGTACATTAGATTCTTGCTTTTCCATTCTTGTGATACTAAGAAGAATGTGTTTCAGCTCCATCCAGGTTAATATAAAAATGTAAAATCTCCATCTTTTTATGGCTTTTATAGTATTCTACGGTACACATACACCACAGCTTATTTTCATTTTCAGTTGACTGTTGAGTTTAAAATGAAAAATGTGGGAATTTAAAGTAATGTAGCCTCAGGGTTAAACATACAGGTTTTGACAAGGATTTGAGTTCAGTTCTCAGCTTTACCAACCACGTAACACTATGCAAGTTTCTTTGACTTCACGCTTCCATTTCCTTCTCTGCAAAGTGAGGAAAATTCTTATAAAAAAAATCTTTTATATCACAGAGTTGGTGTGAGGGTTAGGTGAGGTTGTAGTCCCCAAAGGTTTATTAGCACAGAGGTGCTCTTATTACTGTAAGTATTGGTAAGCAAGAAATATGTTTAAGACTCATACCAGAGAAGGACAGGTGAGAGAGAGATGTTCTTAGTTCTAGATCTGGGTGGAGCACACACGCTAAGAAGTACTGAGTACAGGCTAGAGGTTAAGGGAACCAAACCAAATAAAAGATGAAAGCCCATATGGGTAAAGAGTAAGTGAAACAAGAGCTAGACCAACGGTTCTCAACCCGTGGGTTGTGACCCCTTTGGACTGTATTAAAGGTTTGTGGCATTGGGGAGGTTGAAAACCACTGAACTAGACAGAACAACACTGAAAAAGCTTGATAGGGGGTCAGTGAGGGTTGAACCTATAATCTACTGTGGCCACCAGGGCCCTCAAGGATCCAGGCCCCAGCCACACACCCTCGGCCTGTTCCTTCCTTAAGGCCCTGTACTTGCAGTCCATCCTTGTCCTTGTCATTCATGCCTCCTCAACTGTCACTTTCCTGACCCCCCAATACCATTTATTATGCCTCCAAAATGTAAAAAAGAAAGAAAGAAAAAACACAACTCTCATTATTACCCTGTTCTACTTCCCCCATAGCACTTATCACCAGTAAGTCTTACTGGTTTCCTTTTTCATCTTAACATAAACCCTGTGAAAGAAGAGTGTTGTCTGAAGGGTCAGAATTTGGTGAAAAGGGGCACAAAATTTAAGGGGCTCAGTAACCAGGGTGTTAATGCAATATTTTTAAAATACTACAACAAATGAAAAACAAAATCCATGATGAATAAAATATCAAAAGTTTAAAGCAAGATAAGATCAACAACAGTGCCATGTTGAGTTATTCTGGAGCCCAAGGCAAAGGGAAAAGAATTAGTAATACTGATCCTTTCTTGATTTAAACTTTTTATATTGTGCTTATTATCATGAATGTGTTTTTGTATTCACTTTTATTTTTATTTAATATTACATCAAAATATCCTTTATTTGATTGCTGAGATTTTTGGCACCTCCCTAAATTCTGCACCTGAGGTGGGTACCTGAGTCCCTCCCTAGTCCCAGCCCCGTCCTGTACCCCCCAGCATACAGAGCAGAGCCTAGCACAGAGTAGGCACACAAATAAAGGTTAAATGAAAGTCTGAATCATCCCAGAGGAAATACTAATTTTAATTTTATCTAATTCTTTAAAAAAAGTCACTAAGCTTTGAGACTTAATATACAGAATCTGAATATATTCTACTCATAAGAATTAAAGACAACTTGGATCTGGGGAAAGCACTGGTTATGAACCCAACAGGCTCCAGGATGGGTTGATTATTCTGGGTGACTATGATGGACTGAACTGCATTTGCCCCAAAGTTGTTATGTTAAAACTCTAACCACTGGTGTCTTGGAATGGGACTGTATTTGGAAACAGAGGTGATTAAGGTTAAATGGGGTCATACTGATGGCCCCTAATCTCATGGTGCCTTTGTAAGAAAAGAAAATTTGGACACACAAAGGAGACACAAGCAATGCACGCACACAGAGAGACTATGTGAGGAGGTCTACAGGTCAAGGAGAAAGGTCTTAGGAGAAATCAATCCTGCCTGCACCTTGTTCTTGGACTTTCAGCCGTTAAAGCTGTGAGAAAATGAATTTCTGTTGTTTAAGCTAGCAAGCCTGTGGCATTCATTATGGCGGCATTAGCAAACCAGCACAGCAGCCCACTCAAACTTCCTTCCCTCACCACTGGCTTATGATCCTAGAGGAAAATGAGGGATCTGGACCAAATATTTACAAAGCCCCTTCCAACCCTGATGTTTAAGTTTGTCAAAACATTTTAAAAATGAAATCATAAATGATAATTTGGAGAATCTGGAGATAGGGGTAGGAAATCCAAGTATTTTGCAAATTGTATTAGATTAAATTTTCTTTAGATAAGACATCAATCAATAATAGAATTGAAGAATAAATAAGACTTTCATCAGTTACTCATAGCAAAAATGTGTAAAGATCTTACCTAATGTCTATGAAAAATAATAATGGAAGCAGTGAACAAAGATTTATGTAATATACATGTATATAGTAGTTTTACAGAAAAATTAAAATGGGACATTCAAAAATTGTAACTTACACGATAAAGTATTTACAATGTAAGGATAAGTAGGAAAGACAGATATGAAACTGTAATGTACAGTTTGATCCTAAAATGATAATGTGTGTAGTTATATATTTTTCACTATTATAATGGTCATGCCCAGGTATAATATTGGTGATTTTCATTCTTCACATATTTCTATAGTTGCCAATTCTTCTTATATTGTCACATTTCTATAGTTGCCAATTCTATAATTTGTATGCATTACTTTCATGAATATTTGTAGTAAAAAATATTACATCACTATGGAATTAAACTATATTCCTGATAATCCTGACATCCATGTCAAAAGCCATCTTCTTCACATTAAAAAAGAAAACGAGAGCAAACATTCCATATACTCAATACCAATTTCAAGCTAGCAGATATACAATAGGCCCACACAAGAGAAATACATGATAAAACTCAGGAAGGGGGGGCTCGGCGGGGTTCCACCTATCAGGTCCAAGGTAGGAATATAGGGCACATCTCTTGGGTGAAAAGACTCAACTACAACTAGGACTATACCTTACAAACTCAGGCCATGTAGCCTAATCAGATGTACCCTTATGTTAATCCCAAAGTAAATAAATTTTTAAAAAATAAAACAAGAAGTGATTGCAGCCTGATTTAAAAGGCGGTGAAAGCAGCAGCAAGCCTAGAGGCCCAAAGGCAGTAAAGCCTAGCTGTTCGTGGAGGGGAAAGGTAAGTCTCTACTGTCTACCCTTCCATGCTTTTGTTTGCTGGGAAACAGAAGTGGGGCTTAGCATCATATGCCACTGTTGAGTGGGCTGTTCAACCATCCTGGGAACTGTGAGAAAGTGTCAGCCAAGCGGTGTTACCCTTGGACTCAGCTATACACCTATAATATACCCACATAATTTCCAAGAACTTTATGCCTATTGGATCATAACACACCTTTCAGGGGTTGTCAAAGAAGAAGAGAGGAGCAGCAATGATGAGGAGTTAAGTAGCACGATTCATCAGCAGATAACAGCCTTTCTATTAATAATCCTTGCCACAAGTTTAGACTGCTGATCCAGAAGAGCAAGCAATGTGACAAGATGAGTGGACTTTCCTGAAAGCACACCAGCCCCACCTCCCTACCCCCAAAGTCTGGGAGAAACACTCACACTTCCTGGAGATTCGGTAAATCCTCAAAACCAGCAGGGTCAATCTCAGAGAATTTGTTGTAGCTCAGGTTTCTGATAAAGGGAGGAAAAAAACAAAAATAGAATCAACACTTGGCATCACACCCAAGATTCAGGAATCTTCTTTTCTTCCACTTTCCCACCAACAAAATCCAAACCCTCTCCCCCTTGTAACTGCCCATCTCATGCATTATTTTAAGTAACCTATTGTTACTGAGATTCACAGATGTATCTCCTTCCCATCTGCATCCAAAAACAAGGCACTCCCAACAATCCTGTGAAGATCCACATCTCCTGAGGTTGGCAAAACCCAAATGGATTTCAATCAATACCATTTTACTACTTAACAACTTTTAGAGAAACTGTAAAGCAAGCCAGTCCTCAATCTACATTAAAGGGTCCTGGTCCAAATGCTTTGACGTATCAAGCCCAAGGGTTATTTTATTTATTTATTACATCAAGGTTATTTTAAATTAATGTTTTGCTAAAGCATCAACATTGAGCAGTAGTAAAATTAAAGGGAAAAGGTGACCCTTATCATCTAACCAGTTCTGAGTCAGTGATTATTCTGCCTTACAGGCAACATTTGACAATGCCTAGAGATATCTTTGGTTGTCATGACTGTAGGCGAGGGGTGTTACTGGTATCTGGTGGGTAAGAGCCAAGGATTTTGTTGAACATCTTACAATGCAGCCCCCCATAACACAGAATTACAGTCTTCAATGTCCACATGGGTATGGGCAGTCCCCAGGTTATAAACAAGATAGGTTCTGTAGGTTTGGGGTTTTTTTGTTTTTTTTTTTAATTAAATCATAGCTGTGTACATTAAATACTATCATGGGGTACAGTGTTTCTGTTCTGTTTCTGTGTTATGTAGGTTTGTTCTTAAGTTGAATTTGTATTTAAGTTAGAACAGGTACATTTCCCTATTGCCTGTAATAGTCTCCGTTCCTAAGTAGTTACACATATATAAATTGGATGTTTGTGACTCAAGAACTGCCTGTGTTCAGAGATTGAGAAACCCTGCTCTAAACAGGAATTTAAAACTAAAAATTGCTCTGATATACAGTCAAAGCTCAAATGACTATTTAGAAAGTCAGCACTCCAACATACTGAATCATAAAGCTACTTAGGAACACAATATCCTTATCACCAGTGAATAAATTGGGAATAATAGTCACATGAGAGAAAGGAGCCTGTTGTTGGAAATACACGTTGGTGTTAACTTCAGGTAGGGAGAGCCTCTTGCGAACCGTCCTCCCAAGATGACAGCATCTCCTATGTCACTACCCAGCCACACCCTTATAGGCAAAGAGCAAGGGTTACGTTTGGTTAGCTCTTTGACCAATCTCAACCCAGACCAGCTTAATCCTTCAGTAGAAGAAGAAACAAAGATGTGATCCAAATGGGCCCTAACTTACTTTGCACTGTAATCTTGCTCCCTGCCACCAATGCCCACCCAGCGCTGTATATGTTAAAAAGGTTAACATGCTCCAGCTGTTAAGTCCACTGACATTACTGCCAATTAACAGTACTACTAATCATAGTTTAAAGTCTGTCTCGTAAAGTGCCACATAAGTGGCAACTATCTTTTAAGTTTTCTCCAGAGACATTTCAATCAATACTAACCTAAGCTGATAGCCATTTCACTGTGAACTCAAAGACATTCATCTAAATAAAAGTCAAACTATGCTTGAGCCTAATGGTACAGCTGCATTCATGGCACAGCCTAATTAATAGTAATTTGTCCAGAGATTATGTTACCATAAAGACTGAAGGTGGTAATTTTTTAAAAACCACATACTGAAGTCAAGCGTGAACTTGTCTATTGTCTATGCTTGGGGGTATTTATTTTAACAGATACACAGAAATTCCAAGTTAGACTCAGAGAAGAAAATCCACAAATTTTGAGACAATTCTCCCACAGCAGAAAAGAACTGGAAAGACTAAAATTTCCTCCTACGTTGGGGCAGGTTATCATAAAAGGGAGAATGGAAATATGGTTTCTGAATATAAGGATACTGTGAGCCTGCCAGGGCAAGAGAGCATGACAGCTGGTGACTCTTGCTCAGGAGGAAGGAGGCCAAAACAGTAAAACAGGGCAGTGCCTGCCCGCCCACCCGCCTAAAAGGGGCGTTTGTTCCTCATCTCCTGAAATAAGGACCAGTACAGACCACTCTTCTCAGACCACTCAAAAATCTAAATTCTTATGTAAAACCTTTTTAATTCTTTAAAAAACAAAAACAAAAACAAAACAAAACCCTAAAACAGTAACCAGAGATAGCCAAACAAAACATATCTGCAGGCCACATTTGGCATGAGGACTGCCACTCTTCGCCTCTGATCTAGGCCACTGACTCTTGAGGCTATTAAGTTCAAAGGGAACGGCTTGTTTCTGGCTTACACATGTGGCCAGGGGTGGAGCTAGGGCTTACCGGGTCTTACGCAATTTGCTGATGGCTGTTTTCAACTATCTGAAATGAGATCACTTCCCTCCATCCCCACCCAGCAAGTGTCTTTACCAACCTCGAATAAAGCCATCTTAGATCACAACATTTTGGGGGTTCTCTTTCCATTAAAGAGCATACAAAATTTATTCATATGTCAGAAGTGCAGAAATTCTGCTTTTTGATCAGACTACTTAAAAAAAAGGTCTTCCATGGTCAGCTTCTATTGTCAAGAAGCAAAGTAGTATCTGGGCTTAAAATTGTGAGGCCAACAAGTAGCAACAAAGCTTTCACTGGGTCAGCATGGATGCAGTGACTTTTGGAATTTCAATGAGCTAGAAAAGCCACCTATCAACAAACAAGTGTCAGGGTAACTCTTCTTCCAGGCCACCTGTTGGAAATTTAGAGAGAAAATAGCCATTGAAGCTCCCGTCCCTTACAAGGGTCTCCACTGCAGACACAGAGATGCTCTAGCTTTTAAGTCTGAGAAACAGTCTTAACTGTTAACTGTTAACATCCAGTCCTGGATGAGCTGCTGATTATCATCCGCTTTATTAGAAAATGAGGAAAATATTTACTATATTCTCCCAGGCAAATACAGGATGAAATAAAATCCTCAGAGACATTTTTTTGTTGGCTCATTTTAGGCAGACAAACTCCATACTTTGCATGTGGTAAAAAATATACATAACATAAAATTTACTATTTTCACCATGTTTAAGCATACTGGACAGTGCATTAAGTACATTCACCTTGTGACCATTATCACCATCCATCTCCAGAACTTTCTCAATATCCCAAACAGAAACCCTGTACCCAATCAACACTGGTTCCCTATTCCCCTCTACCCCAGTCCCTGGCAACCACCGTTCCACTGGGTGTCCCAAAAGTCATCCCCAAAGTCATCATACAGAGAAAAAATGGGAAATTGTAGCTAAATGTACCATTATTTATAAAATATTCATTTCAAAATTTTAAAAACTATTCTCTATATGTTGGTCACCTCTTTATAAAATTATATTAAAAATTTTTTATAACTAAAGGTCCACTTGGCTACAATTTCCCATTTTCCCTATTTATGGCAACGTTGGGGACACTTTGTACTTCTGTCTCTATGAATCTGACTATGCCTCACACAAGTAGAGGCATATAATGTTTGTGCTTCTGGGACTGGTTTAGTTTACTTAACATAATGTCTTCAAGCTTATCCATGCTGTCCTATCTGTCATCAGAATTTTTTTTTTTTTTTTGGAGATGGAGTCTTACTCTGTCCTCCTGGGTAGAGTGCTGTGGTGTCATAGCTCACAGCAACTGCCAGCTCTTTAGCTCAAGCAATCCTCTTGTCTCAGCTTCCTGAGTAATTGGGACTCTAGGCATATGCCACCACGCCTGGATAGTTTTTCTATTTTTGGTAGAGATGGGGTCTTGCTTTGCTAAGGCTGGTCTCAAATTCCTGAGCTCAGGCAATCCACCTGCCTTGGCTTCTCAGAGTGCTAGGATTATAGGCACGAGCCACCATGCATGGCCCAGAATTTCATTTCTTTTTAAGGGTGAATAATGTTCCCATGTATGTGTAGACTACATTTTGTGTATCCATCTATCTGTTGACAGACATTTGGGTTGTTTCTACTTTGGGCTATTGTAAATAGTGCTGCTATGAACATGGGCGTATTTTTTTCCAAATTTTAAAAAATGTTTAGAAGAAGTGGGTTTTCTGTTAATCCTTGCCTGCTCTGCTTAATGACAACACTCATTTCTCAAATACTAAGGAAATACACTTAGTTGGCCCAAGTAAGGAGTGTGAATTCTCAAGGCAAACCCCAAGAACAGTCAAGGGTTAATCAGTGAGAACCTCTAATGAGGTCTTTCAGGTGGCAGCTGACAGGCACATACATCTAAAACATCTCACTTATTTCTATGAACATGATCGCCCCTTACCAGGCCTGACATCTTCAGTTGAAGGTTTCAGATTCTCCTGTCAAAACAATTCATCTGTCAGCAGGACAGATGCTGTCAAAAGCATTTCTGTACCTTTCAGTAACGAAGAAGAGAGGAAAGAAACCTCAGGGAATTTAGTTACTGCCAATTGTAGCTTTCATTAAACATTTTGTCAGCCATTGTCATAACACAAATTTTCCCTGTTCTTGCACAAAGGGTGCGCAGATCTTGGAACAATTGAGCCCAGCCATAGATATTCTTTCAGCTAATCTGCTGAAAGATGACCGTGCAGCCCACTGTTTGCAGAACACACAAGAGGCACCTCTGAAGAGAACAGCTCAAGTTTTATCCAGGCGTGTCTGGAAAGCAAACTCTTTACCAAGACGAGACAATAGTCTGCTTGCCTGTGGAGCATGTTTTCTGACAAGATCTCCTACCTGGGACCCAAAGGATCTGGAAAGCTAAAGTCTTTCAATAGCTGAGATATCCCCACTAACTGTGTTGTCCAATTTGGTTGCTACTAGCCATGTGGCTATTGACAATTATATTGAAACTAAATTAAAATCACATAAAATTTAGAATGCAGTCTCTTGGTCATGCTAGCCATATTTTGAGAGTTTAATAGTCATGTGGGGCTAAGCGGCTACCAAACTGCACAAGGCAGATAGA